TTTTTATTTTAGTTCATGATTTTTAGAATAAATAAATTATATTTGATTAAAATTTGAATGTTTTATAAGAAACTATAAATAGATTAAAAGAGTATTATATTTCTTTTATCTGGAAAGAGAATTAAGACTCCTATTTTATTTCTATTTCTTCAAACAAGTTTACTATATTTAATACAAAAGGTTTTTAAGTAATGTAAAAAGATTTTAAAGTCATTAATTTAATTTAAAATAATTAATAATTAATTTTATTTTTGGATTCGCAAGTAATTTAAATATAAATTAGCATACAAAAAAATTAGGTTATTCAAATAAATTCTTTCCCTATTGATAGTTAATACAAAAATATTTATGCTGATCAGTAAAATAAGTTAATTTATATGTAGTTTTAAAACTTCTTGATAGTTTTATAAATCGATACCTTATAATAAATTTAGAAAATTCCTATTTAGAATGATTTTGTCTTTATAGGGAATGACTCAATAAATAAGGTAATTTTAATTAGTATTTATAATAAAAACACATTTATATTAATATTTTTTTTATAATAGATTTAAATTTTTAAACAAGCTACAGCTATTATCTTATTCAAATTATTTAACACCTCTCTGTAAGTTATTCCTTTAAGTATTGATATATCTTATAAGAAAATATTTATAGATAGTGAATTAGGAATATTAATTATTTGTGATATTAATGATATTTAGACATACATTTTATCTTATATAGGATAAACATAATTTAGTAGCTTTATGATACAAATTAATTCAAATTAGTAAGATAATTATTTTGTATTTAATTATAATTATCATTTGAGTACTTTAATAGTTACAATAGATACTTAGGTTTACTAACTTGACATAAATTATTTTAATTATAATCCTTAAAGTATCCAGCTTGCTACTGAAAATTAATCAGTAACTTTTGGATTATAAAAAGAGAATATAGTTACAATAAATAATGATATCAATTATATATCTATATATGATAGCATATCATAGTAACTTAAAGATAGTATAATTTTTAACTAAAATGTAGATCAAATTAATATACAATAATATTAGATTATTAGTTTTAGCAAAGAAAACCTCATAGTGTGTTTTAGAAAGACAGATTATTATATTCTTTAATTTTCACCTTTGAAGATTATCGAATTTATTTATCTTTCTGGCGTTTAAAATGTTTATATATCTAACAAATATGAAATGCTAGTTTATAGTAATATAAATTAACAAGTTTATTTTTTCTGCTCTCAATAGTAATAATTTATCCAATTAAAGAAAGATTAGCAAGTAATAAGTTAATTAACCATAGTAAATGAAAGGTTTATTGGTATATCTGTGCTAAATAATACTCTATATTAATTTTTTGTATATGATACAATCCTATTGCAAAATGTACCTCTAACTCTTAATGAAGTATAACATTTTTTATTTTAATTAAGAAAATCAAAATACCTTTAA